TTAAAATAACTAATTATTAACTAATTTCTTACACTGAATTATGTATTAAACAATTATAGCAACAATTCTATAAACATGGTATTGAAATTTAATTATCTAAATTGAACTCCAAATTCATCCATCAATTTCCAAATGTTTTGTGAAAAAAAAACAACTACGTTTCTGCTTCAACCCCTTTCCCCTAGTTTAGTCAGAAAATCAAAGTCACGATTTTAATTTCCATGACGAAATAAAGATAAAATCAATTGGAAATTAAGGAGTCAAATATAACAAATTTACTTTATTACTAACTCAAAATAGCTTTTAGTCTCATTGTCACACAATTTCTGTCTTTTTGACGCAGTGGTTGTAAAATAAATTCCAAACGATGAAGCTTTTACGTGTTTATTTTTTCAGTCATATTTTTTTGAAAGTAATCATAGTGTCTTCGACAAATAACTACTATAGGGGTTTGGTGAAGTATCTACAAGAAGAGTCTAAGTTACATCAAGTAGTTTTCATTTTCAATCACTCGGAAAATGAGAATCCAATAATAAATTCTCTCACATCGAGTGTAAATTCACATTTTCCATCTTTGGCTATCAGTAAAAGTGAAATAAACACAAATCTTACCGTATCGTATCTAAAGTTCCTACAACGACCCAGAAGTACTACATTATTCATCCTAGAGTGGAAAAATGCAGATACGATAGAAGAATTTAATAAATTTTTGATTAATAATAATAATTTATTACTGAGATCATCAAAACCAAGATGCTTAGTTCTAAAATCTATTTCCTCAACTAGTGGCGATATCAACGAAATACTACATTCTTTCTGGCTGGAAAAATACCTAGATGTTACTCTATTGACCTATGAACAACAATCACAAGATAAAATTAAACCTAATTTTCAAGTTTTACCTCTTTTAAGTCAACTGAACCCTTTTATGAAGAATTACTCAACCGAAGTGGTATCCAAAAGTGAATGGTTCCCAAATAAACTACTCAATCTCTATGGATACAAATTAAATTTCTCCTGTCAACCCATTAAGGATTCATCTGAAAAGGAATATAGAAAAGGAAAAATACTGGTCGAAATTTTGGCCCAAGTGATGAATTTTAAATACAAAATAACACCAATAACGTTGGCTGCTAGTAAAGTCAATTTTGGGAAAAATGAAAGTGAAATGAAAAAAGTACATCAAGAATTTAACATTAAGTTCAGAGAAGTAGATCCTGAAATTTGGGTAAATTTTGTATCAACTGCTGATTTACATATGGAGAACATACGAACTCTAAATTTCGAAACTGTCAAGGCTGTTATACCAAAAACGGTCAAACTTACCGAAGATTTTAAACTTTCTTCAGAATTTGGACACATGATTTTAGCGACAATTGGTTTAATCACTCTAATACGATTTACAGCATTTTTACTGAATTTCAAAAAAACCAGATGGCAAACATTGAACATCAGTCAAATTATAATAGGAATGTCAACCAATCAAGAGCCGAAGAATTGGTTAGAACGAATAATATTCGGTTCATTACTAATTGCATGCACTGTCTACACAAGTTACATGTACTCTATAATTCTAGACATTAATTTTCGACCAGCTCCTTCGATTTCAACTCTCACCGATCTGGTGAATTCACCATTAAAGCCGATCGTGTCTGAACAGATACATAAACTTTTATTGTCCAAAAGTACAATTTTCGAAATTCGTCAATTAGCAAAGAAAGCAACACTAATTCCTCTTCAAGGTGAAGAAGAATGTTTGAAAAATTTAACCATCCATCATCAGGAGATAACGTGTATTTTTGAACGAGCTGCACATCGTGTTAATAAATATAAAGCTAAACATGGCGAAATAAATGTTAAAATCCTACAAGAGACAATTACTTTTCTGGTCGCTACATTCTTTCCAAAAGAACATTCACCCTTTCTGGATCGATTCAATGAAATAATTCTAAGAGCTTCAGAAGCTGGATTAATTAGAGATCATTACAAGGATGATGTATACTCGAATACTAATAGCTTGCAACCAGAAATAATAACGAAGGAAAAACTTTTACCAATATTAGTTGGTGTACTGGTGACTGGATATTCTATTTCTATCGTTGCTTTTTTTCTTGAAGTAATTGCAGTGAAATTTAGAAAAAAATTTCCCAAATCAAGGTTTGTAAAAATGGAGCATTTCACCGATACTTTACTCAGTGCACCAACATTTAAGATTCTTTTCACTGAAATATACTTTCGAAATATTCAGAAAATATTATGTTCTATGTGCGTAAATATTCTAGTCATTAATACCTAAAATCTTTCCTTATTTTTAGATGAAATGATAAATACTCGATGGAGAAAAAAACTTTTTAACTAATTGGATAAAACTGATTAAAATCTATTTAGCCACCTACAATCCACCCTCAATAGAAGTTTATAAATGAAAAGTCATCGTAATAATAATATAGTATAATAATAATAATAATAATAATAATAATAATAATAATAATAATAATAATAATAATAATAATAATAATAATAATAATAATAAATTTAATTTTCTAACTACAATTTTAAAAAAATTTCAGATAAGAATCTAATTTTGAAAAAAATATTATTAATATTTTTCGAAAAAATTCCATTATTTTCTAGAATTTTAATAAATATTTCGAAACAATTCAATTTTTAAAAAATTTTTCGAATGAATCCAATTATTTTCTAAAATTTTAATAATTCCTTGGAAAGAATCCAATTATTTTGATAAATAGTAAAATTCATCGCAAGAATTAAATTATTTTTTATAAGCAATAAAATTCTTCTCAGAAATTCAATTACATTTTCAATACAATTTCAATAATAAACTTCAAAAATTAAATATTTAATTATAATTTTTACAAGACACGATTATTTTAAAAAGTGGAAAAATGTTCTTTGTTCAATTCAATAATTTTCAAAATTTCCAATTAAAATTATTTTTAAAAAAATTAAAGAAAGTCTTCAAAAGAATTTAATTATTTATAAAAATTCTAATAAAATTGTTTAATTTTCTATCAAAAATTTTAATAAAATTTTAATAGTAAAATTTTTAAGGTTATTCAATATTAATATATTCGATTATATTCAATAAACTAAAGAAATTTTTTGAAAGAATTCAAATATTCTCAAATCCTTTAACAGTTATCTATTTTTCGAAAGAATTTAATTATTTTCAGTATATTACTGAAATTCCTTAAATGAATTAAATTATTTTAGAAAATTGTAATAAAATTCTGAGAAGAATTTAATTATTTTTTAAAAATTTTAATAAAATTCAATAATTAAAAATTCAATTTTAATTATTAAGAAACACGATTATTTTTAAAACTTGAATGAAATTGTTCATAAAATTCAATTATTATTTTAAAAAATTTTCAATTAAAATATTAAAGAAACTTCATTATTTTTAAAAAATTTAAAGAAATTCTTCAGAAGAATTTAATTAGAATTTTTTAAAATTTTAATGAAATTCTACGCGAAAATTCAATTATTTTCTTAAATAATAAAATTCTTCGAAGTAGGAATTCAATTATTCTAAAAAATTTTTGATAAACTTCTTTGCAAGAATTCTATAATTTAAATACCTACATTAATTTTAAAATTAAAAATATTTGAAAAGAAAAAGTATTACAATTTTTTGTTAAACTTTTTCTATTACCTAATTATTGATATTTTTTCAATATTTTTTCGTAGTCTTGTTACATTCTTTAAAATTTTAATCAAAATTTTTATTGCAGTATAACTTTTGTTTTAAAATTCCATTAATTTTAATATATATTTACGAAGTAGATTTGAGAAAAAAATTAGTAAAATTTAATTTGAGTCTTGGAAAAATTTTCTTCAAAAATATTTAAGTTGAATATTAAAAGTTATTACTTCCAGAATTACTTTTACTATTTCCAAAGACAATTTTTTTGGTATAATAATTAGAAAAATTTACTTTAAAAATAGGAGCTAAAATTTAGGTACTCAAAAGTAATTTTTTAAAATTTTTTGTAATAGCTAATTGTAATGTTCGAGGCAAATTTTATAATATCCGTCGTAAATTTTATTGAAAATTAGTAAAATATACTTTTAGTAAATTAAAATTTATTAATAAATCAATAATAAATTTATTTTAATTTATATTAATTTTCAAGTAAACGTTTCGTACGAACGAGCGGAGATAAATTGGGAAAATTCGTTTGCAACATTGCAATTAAAGGGTCAATCGTTAAGCGTCAGAGTGTCTTCGGCGCTGCTTAATTAAATATTGCGCGCAATATATTATCTTTTTATAAAAAAAAAAGATTCTATAGTAGAAAAATATTCATTTGCAATAAACATATAAAAATTAAAAATTAATAAAATAAAAAGAAAACCATACCTTGAATTTTCTCCTCTCTTTCTCTCTCGCTTAAGATTGGGAAGGGATTTATTTCAATTTAGAATGCTAATCGATATTTATCTAGAAAAAAAAGAAGGAAAATATTAAGAACAAAATTATAAAAAAAATATTTCTTTATAAAATTTTAAGCAAACAATTTTAAAAAATATAATTTAACGACGTTCCACAATTGACTGCAATTAACATTTTGTAATTTATCACTGCACGTCATTGCCGAACACCGTTAAATTGAAATGAATATAATTATAAAAATAGAAATGAAATAAATTAATCTTTAATTGTTGTACATTTAAAGATTAATTTTTTAATTCTCAAACAAAAATCTACTAAATACCTGAATTAAAATTAATATTAATTTAAAAAAATAATAAATACTCAATTTCAGATAAATAAGAATTTAAAAATTAAACTAAAAAAAATTAATTAATCAGATACTAATTAAGCGACCGTGGGAGAGGCGCGAAATCGAATTTTCTTATAACGAAATTCGATTTTATTACTATATGAACATGACTCATGAGAATATTTCCCTGGAATTACGATTTTCTTCTTTTATAATACTCAAGGATTTGGATAAATAGAAAATTTCTCTTTCTCAAAACAAATTTCAATTGTATAATTATTTCTCTCAACGATTTTACTTGTTTATCAGTATTTTTCTCATCTGTTACAATAAATTTCAAAAAAAATATTGTTCAAATTTCACCAAAAAAAAATATATATTACATTGAAAATTTCTATCAAAAAGTTAATTAAAAACAGAAATAGGAAAAACTAAAACAGTGAAGAAAATAGTAAAAAACAAGTAATCGTAAAGTATAAATTTTACAGGAGATAATTAATTTAATAATACATTAATGTTAACATTATTAACATATTGAGAAAATAATTTATAAAATTAAATAATGGGCACCTCTTTAAATATTCCTTGTTTGTATTTTTTCTTTTCCTTTTATCGTTTCAGGAAAAAAACGAAGAATTAAAGGCAACTGAGTGATGATGAACCCTTCTTTCTATCCTTGAAATGAACTTGAGCAATTTTCAGGAAATCGGAACGATCTAATTGATTGTAGGCAATTGTGAGCATTTGTAGTGCCATATCTTTCACTTGTGGCACACCACTTGAGAAAAGATCGTGGCCTAATTCTAAACAAGTGCCAAAATCACATTCGTCAGCGGCTATTGTCGCCCAGCGTACAACTTCTTGTAATTCCGTCATTCCCGAATGATTGCCATTCGACTCTTCGATTTTCTTCAACATTTTCTGTAAATCAGCTGCAAAAAAAAAAATTTATTTATTATTTCTTTATTGTTTAATTAACTTTAAAAAAAATTTAATTATAGTTGAATTTTCTAATTTAATTTTCTTGTTTAAAAAAGAAATTTTTTTTAAATTTCTTATAAAAAAAAAGAAAAAAATAAAGTAAAAAATACTTTTGGTCGTAAGTAAAATTTTTTTTACCATCACTCGTAGCCATTTTTCTATAGCCAACTTGTGTTTTTCTATCAAAGGGAACAACAATTCCGGCACCGTGAAATGTTCTTGCCTGAACTTTCTTTTCTCTTTCCTTCATTCTAGACGTGTGTTTATCTAAAGTAATATTTTTCTCTTTGGCGAAGGTTTTTAATTTCTGATGAAGACGAGCAATTGTTGTTTTTTCAAATGGATTTGCCAACTTTGTTCTCTCTTCGAGATAAGAGCTGGAAGAATATAAAGAGATTTTTAATTTATTCTAAATATAATTGAATATTTCAATCTTTAAATATATAATTCAAATTCAAAATAAGATAAATTTATTACTGACTTTCTAAGTATGTCATTCAATTTTAAAATAAAAATATAAAACAATTATTATTATTTCGTTATTTATTATTTTTTGTCAATATTTTAATAATTTACAAATATAAAATAATAATTATTATTGTTATTATAATATCTTTGTGAAGAATTTTATTAAAATTTTTTAAATTAATTAAATTCTGTACGAAAACATTGTATTCAAATTTTTTAAAAGTAATTAGTCTTTCCAAGTATTTTATTAAAATTTTCGAATTAAATTAAATTTTGTGCGAAGAAGTTTTAAAAATAATTGAATTTCTTCAAAGATTTTTTTTTATTTATGAATTATTAAAATCTTGCGAAAAATACTATTAAAATTTTGGAAAATAATTATATTAAAAACAATTGAATTCTTGTGAAGAATTTTATTATTTTATGAAATTAATTAAATTCTTGCAAATTATTTCCAAAGAATTTAATTAAAATTATCTTGCAAATATGTAAATAAATAATTGAATCTCGTGCGAAGAATTTTATTAAAATTTTTTTTGAAAATAATTGAATTGTTTTAAAGAATTTTATTACAGTTAAATTTTTTTTAAATTTCGTATCTAGAATTATTCAAAACTTGAAGTTGATTTTTGGAAATGAAAAATTTTCTAAATTATCTAATTATAATAAATTAATAGCCAGTTTTCCTAGTTATTCATATATTATTTATAAAAATTGAAACCGAAACTTTTAAAAAATTCTATTATTTTTTTAAATTTTAAATAAAATTATTCGCAAAAATTATTTTAAAAATTAAACTTGTAAAACGTACTCTAAGACACCGAATAAATTCTCAGCAACTGGAACGATTTTGCAAGAAACATTTGCATTATTTTTTGCAACAAAAACTGGCATTTTATCGGGATCATCCCTCCAATAACCAAAGTGCAATTCGTCTTTGTCGTTTCCTTTTAAAATCGTCTGTGAAAATTTAAAGAAAAAATTTGTGATAATTAAATTTTTTAATTATATAAATAAACGAAAAATAGAAATTTTACTTTTCATCAGTGAATACTATGTAAAAAATTACAATTATTATTATACAATTAAGGTTCTTTAAATAAATTTAAAATTATTATATAAAATATTTATAGTTAATTAATTAATATTTAGTGTAATTATGTAAGAAAAAATTTGTGATCTAATTAAATTATTAATTTTTAATCGAGGAAAACAGAAATTATAATCTTTTTTTAATCGTAGTGAGTGACGATTTATTATTTTAAATAAATATGATTATCCAGTAATTCCTGAAAATTATTATTCAATAATAATAATAATAATAATAATAATTTTTAATTAATAAAGAAATTAATTTGCCCAATTACCTGAAATTCTGGTGGATCGTAAAAATATCTCCAGTGTCGTAAATAATTATCGTGATCCTGAATTTCAGAAAGTTGTTCGCTCATAATATCAAATGGACCAACAAGTTTTAAATTAACAATTTTAAATGCCAATGTTGGATCAACTTTTGAATTTTCCTTGCAAAATTCGTAGAATTGATAAAAATCCATTGGCATTTCGGTTAAAAATAATTTCTTAATCGTTCGCTTTTTATCATCAAGTGTTGAATTTAGAATTTTCGTCTTTCTCTCAATTTTATCGACAACTTTTTCATCAATTACTTTTTCCGGCGATGGCGATAATCTATCGCGATTATTACTAACATCATCATTTAAAACCTGATCAATTTTTTGTAATGATGTTTCCTGTGTTTTTTCATTATCATCATCATCGTCATCATTATTTTGATTTTGTTTTTTATCCAAATGCTTTGCCTGCGGAGAAGTTGGTGGTGTTTTTACATTACTTCCCCCTTCATCTGCCTTTCTTTTTATTCCACCCTTTTTCACATGTTTTTTTGTTTTTTGCTTTAAGAAAAATTTTTCTTATTTAAAAACTTTTTTTTATTTAAAAGAATTTTTATTTTTCGGGGAAAGACAAAATTTGTTTAAACATTTTTGGAAAAAGAATTGATATTTTTTCGGGGAATGACAAAATTTGTTAAACATTTGAAAAAAGAAATGTAATTTTCAAAAGTATTTTACCTATTTTACGAATTTTTTTGATAAAAAGTGACATAACCTCACTTTTACCAAATTTGTAATTTTTCAAAATTTATAACTTTTGACAATTTTTTATACTTATTTAAGCAAAAATATTGTTATTCGCGCGGTTTCGCAAAAATTTTGAGGTTAGAATGTCCAATTGTCAATCGGAAACGGAAAACTCAAAAAATGGGAAATGTGGCCGAGTAAACGAAAATAATTCCGAAAGAGCAAGAAATGAATTTTTTTTGTATAAATACGAAATAATTTATTCATTATTTATAAAATGATAATAAACAAATAGAAAATAGTGTAAAAAAAGTCTCACCTGTCCGGTTTTTGGCGGGTGTTTGTATTTATTGTGATGCATCGGATTCTTTTGATAACATTTTACGCCATATTGACACGGGATTCTTGGATCTTTTACATATTTCTCATATTCTTCATCATCACTTTCTTTAGACATTTTAATTTTATTAATGAAATTATTTCTCCAAAAAGTAAAATAAACACGACTTAAACAAATAACAATGAACTGTGATCAAAATAAATGCAAGAGAGACGAATCCACAACTGCGGAGTATCACTGCTCTGAAGTCAGCAATGAAACGCGAGTCAGGGTTGGGTAGTCACGCAAGTGCAAATAGGGAATGTTCTTGACCGGGAAATTCAAAAAGTAGATAAATATTTATCTCAATTATTGGAAAAAGAGGATAAATAAACAATTGAACAAAAAAATGTAAATGTTTAAATATTTTACAATTATGCGATGAAAATTGAGTCGAAATAATAAATATCCACTTGGATACTTGGAAACTTTTTTATTATAAGAAAAATTCTTTTCTGCTCTGTCGGTGGGGTAAAAAACTATCAGGATAGTTAAAGTTAGGTTAGAAAGAGACGAACAATCGAGCACATGCTCTCGCAAAGTTTTAACCGTGATTTCAATTGTTAAAAATTCGACAAAAAAGAATTATCACTTTTCAACTCATTGTTTAGAATTAGAATAAAATTCAGCACAAAAATGTTTATCAGAAAGGTAATTTTTGTCTCCCTATGTTTTAGTTCTTTCACCTGTCTGAATTTTAATTCTTTGTTTACAGTTTACAGTGAATTTTATTGAAAATAACCTTTTTCTTTGCAGGTTATGTCTACCGCTACGAGACAAATTAGACAAATTCAACAAATTAATAGAATAAGTGGGATAAGATTAATGTCAGAAATGGCTGAAAGTGTACCACAAGAAGAACAGGAATTGCAGAAAATAGAGAAAAGTAAGAAAAAACTTTTTTATACCTTTTTTATCGTAAATTCAAGACTTCTTGCTTGCTTTCTTTCATCATTCGAAACTAAATTTTTTTTTTGACTATTTTTCTATATATTTTAAACAAATAGTTTACTTAAGATTAACACTTTTTTTCATTTATTAACAAAATTAATCCTTAACAATTGGATTTTCGATAATAATGAACATAGCAGCAAATGATGACAAATATTAACCGATCATTTGACTAACGTTGTGAAGGCGGGAAATTTAAAATTCTGAAGATTTTTTTTATTATAATTCGAAATGTTATTAAATAAATTTGAACAATTTACCTAATTATTGAAATGAAAATTAAATAAAAATTTCATTTATTAAAATTGGAATTTTTCTTCTAATTTTTATCTACTTTTTTTAGGTATAAATCAAGTAACATTGCTTGGAAGATGTGGAGGTGAACCACAAAAAAGAGGAAATGATAATCATCCTGTTGTTACATTTTCAGTAGCTACGCACACAAATTACAAATATGACGATGGTTTGCATTTTTTAAAAATATTTATTTCTATTTTCTTCTGTTAATTAATTTTTTTCAATTTTTTTGTTTTCGAAAAAAAATGTAATTTTTTCTCTAATTTCACTTGTTTTCATGTTTTTAAAAGTAAACAAATAAAATGCATTAAAATAAAAATATATTAATTAAAATTAATATATTTCATTGAAATTTGACAGAATTTTCAATTTGTTTCAATTTTTTTAAATTATTTTCGAAAATATAATTATTTTGAAAATATTTTTAATACATTTTTTCAAGAAACAAATTTTTTCGGAATTTTCAAATTAAATTATTCCATTTATTAAAAAATTATTTTCAGAAATCATTTTAAAAATATTTTAAAAATTGCAATTGTTCCTCTTTATAGTTTTTGAAATTTGAGTTAAATTTTCTTAACTTTACTTTATTATTTACAAATTAATTTGATTTCTCTTCCTTGTAATCATTTATTTACGAAAATAAATATAAAATTTTTAAAATATTTAAAAATTAATAAAACACTTTAAATTCACTTGTTATTGTAATATTCTCAATTATTCTGTAATTAATTTTTTAATTGAAATAATTTTAAAAATACGATTACTAAATTAATTTTTATTAAATTAAATTAAAATTGGAATTAATTAATTAATTGTTTTATTATTATTTTAGTATTTTTTTATTATTTTTTATTATTTATTATTATTTTTTATTATTATTTTTTTTTATTAATATGATTTTAATTAATTTAATTGTTTATTAATTCGATAAGAACAAGATCGTTTTTGAAAATTAATTATTTACATGCAACAATAGATGATAATTATTTTAAAAATTTAATTTACTATTAAATATTTAATTGATTAATTTTTCTTTTTGTTAATTAATAAAGTAAATAATTTTTAAAAAATTTACTAATTTTTGTTTGGATCCTTTATAGGCAACACAGTGCAACGAACAGACTGGCACAGAATTGTTGTATTTCGTCCAAATTTACGTGAATCAATTTATCGTTACATGAGAAAAGGACAAAGAGTTCTCATTCAAGGGAAACTCTACTACGGTGAAGTTAAAGACGAAGATGGTAAACCAAAACCAACAACATCAATTATTGCCGAGGATGTCGTTATGTTCCAAACATATAAGGAATAAATTTTTTCAAAATTGACAACAAAAAATTATACATAAATTATAATCTAATTTTCAACAAGTTTATCTTTATATAGAAAATTCTTAAGAAAAGTAAAAAAAATCCAAGACAAAAAAAATTACAAAAATAATAAAAAATGCTATCAATAACTTGTTTTACAAAAAAGACAATTTAGTTTTGTAAATTAAACATTAAAATGTAGTTTTCATTCGTTTAAAAAAAAAATAGTAGTTGGAATAAAGGAAAATAAAAAAAAAATTATAGAACTCGAAAATTTTTATTTACTTCCAAATTGTAATTTTTTTTCTTCTCTAAAAAAAAGCAGAAAGTAAACTAAAATTTAACAAAATCGAATTTTCTTCTTCTGATTTTTTGAATAGAAAAAAATTCTCAATTTTCTTGTATTTTTTATATAAATTTCCTTTATTTTTTGGCAGAAAATAATTATTAATTATTTACAATACCTACAAGATTATTAATTAGTTTTTGATTTTTTAATAATTTAAAAAAAATCCTCTTTCAATAAATTTGTTATATTAGGTTATATTAAATTTTTTTTAAAATTTCTTTGAATTTTTTTTTTAAATAATGGAGTGTTTGTAATAATTTTAATTGAAAATTTTGAAAGTAATTAAATTTTTTTAAAGAAGAATTTTATTGAAATTGTACTATTGAAAATAATAAATTGAATTCCTAAGAATTTTATTATTTATAAAAATAATTTAATTCTTGCGAAGAATTTTACTATTTATAAAAATAATTGAATTGTTCCGAAGAATTTATTAAAATTTTAGAAAATAAATTAATTTTATATGTAAATATTTGAAAAAAAATTAAATTCTTTCGAGAAATTCTGTTAAAATGTTTCGAAGAATTTTTTAAAATTGTTATTATAGGAAATAATTGAATTGTTTTAAAGAATTTTATAGAAATATTTGAAAGTAATTAAATTCTGTCAAAAAATTCAATTAATGTTGTTTCAAAAATAATTGAATTTCTGTAAATAATTTTATTTATTTTTTTTTTTTGAAATAATTAAATTCTTTGAATTTTTTTACGAATATATTTAAAAATTATAATTTAATTATCATGTAGAATATTTTTAAAATATTTTGAGGATAATTGAATTATTTTTAGAGAATTTTAATTTGTTGTTGAAATTGAATTTAATAGAAATTTTTGAAAATAATTAAATTCTTTCGTTTAATTTTATTTAAATTGGATTAAAAATAATTAAATTCCTGCAAAAAATTTTACTATTTATGAAAATAGTTGAATTGTTTCGAAAAATTCATTAAAATTTTAGGAAATAATTGAATTTTATGGAAATATTTAAAAATATAATTGAATTTGAATTCGAATTTTAAATGAAAATTGTTTTGAAAATAATTGAATTCCTGCAAAGAATTTTACTATTTATAAAAATATAATTGAATTGTTTCGAAGGATTTATAAAGATTTTAGAAAATAATTGAATTTATTCGAAATATATTAAAAATTTTTTTAAAAATTAAATTCTTTCCAAGGAATTCAATTAAAATTCTTTGGAAAATAATTGAATTGTTTCGAATAATTTATTAAAATTTTAGAAAATAATTTAATTCTTTTGAAAAATTTCATAATGAATTAAGAAAAAAATTAAATTCTTTCGCGAAATTTATTGAAATTAATTTAATGTTTGCTGAAGATTTTACTATTTATAAAAATAATTGAATTGTTTCGAAGGATTTATTTAAATTCTAGAAAATAATTGAATTCTTTCCTGAAATGTTATTAAAATTTTGTTAAAAATAATTCAATTTTTGCAAAAAATTTTATTACTTTGAAGAATAATTGAATTCATCCGAATGTTATTATTTATATTTAAAAATAATTGAATTCTTGTAAAGAATTATTTAAAAATTTTTGAAAACATACACAATAATAATTTATTTTGTACTTAATGAGTGAATTTTTAAATTTATAAATAAATAAATAAGTTAAGAAGAGAATTTATTTTTCAAGAAAAATAATTTTCTATTTTTCAAAAAAAAAAAAAAAAATAATTATTTTTAATCTGAAAAAGGGAGTTTTTGGGTTTTTTCTATTTTGTTTGTAAATAAAGAAACAAAAGCAATTCAATCTTAATAAGTAAATAAGTCTATATTTACAAAGTTTCATCATTTTTCTGTCCATAACAAGTTACATAATAAAATGGCATTAATTCTAAAATTTTACAAGTGTTATACCTTTTTTTCTTCTTTAATTATTTTATACACAATCTTTCTTATTTACTATATATAATATATATATATATATATAAACTCTTCGAATATCTCTCACAATTTTTCTTCCTCTTTTTCTATTTCGTCTTTCATAAACTTTGCGTTTCTAATTTATTATTTTTCTCGTCTCACAATTTTTTTTCCCATCTTTTACTAAATTATTTTCACATTTCTGTTCTGTTTTTTTTTTTAATTAAATTCACTCAAGCAGAATTATTAAAATTTTTCTTTTTCTTCACTCACACACATATCGCGTCGCCTGGTCGTATATAAATTATTTACAATGTATGAAACGAAAAAATTAAAGAAATATATTTATATATTTATATATATACGTCTAACGCCTCAAATATCGTAAAAAAAAATAAACAAATAAAAATTTTTTTTAGGTTTTTTTTTTCGGGAATATGTCCCGGTGTTTTTTTTTTAAATCGATTTTCAAATTATTTTCTTTATACTTTACAGAGATCACAGTATATAAGATGCCAGATACGGGTTTTTTTTTTCTATTGTACTCCTTTTGTATCTCTCATCTTTCTCTCTTTCGCTCGCTGTTAATTTTTAATTTTCGTTTTTTGCGCTTTTTTCGATTTACAAATAAAATTATGTCTACTTTCGTTTTTTGTTACTTTTTTGTGATTTTAAGAAAATACCTAAATAATTTTTTCTTTTTTGTAATTAATATTTTCTTTCTGATTTTTGCAATATAGAAACAAAATTTGCGTATTTTTTTTCACTTTTTTGCGAGTGGAAAAAAATTGCATGGGAAAATTTTTTGAAATTAAAAATGTGTGTTTAATTCGTGAATTTTTTCGCATTTCTTTTTAGAAATTTAAAAATTTTAAATTAAAATTATCTTCTTCTAAATACAATTTTTTTGTAAGTTTAAAAAAAAATTTTCTGTTCAATTTTTTTTTTTCGTTTCTTTGTGCAAAAAAAAACAGAGAGCGAAACGGAGAGTGAAAGATCGGTCGCGGAATGTAAGCCACAATCGCACCATCAACAACATAGAAATTTCGAATATAAATTTTGGTAGTAAAATATATATATGAACTCTTCTTCATTTTTTTTTTATTTTCGTATATAAATTTGAACTCTGGCCCCGGATTTCCATAAAATTTCTTCTTCTTATTTTCTTTTATGTACCTAGTATTTTTTTTTTGCAAATAGATTTCTTAATATTGTTTTCTCGACGTTTTACAAACAATTGTTTATTTACACAGTAGAGATCTAAATATATATATAAAGTATAGTCGATTACAGAGGTGCACCGTTGATTCTTTCTTTTTCAATAACAATTTTCCGTTTTTTATTTTTTACTTTTTCTATTTTTTTTTATATACATATTTATTTTATGTATATATTTAGTATTTAATTCAAAGTATTGTTCTTGGCACAGATTGTTTATTCTCCTTCTTTTCTTTTTTTTCGAAGAGATTTCTTTCGTTTCTTTTCCTCATTGTAAAAACCATTTTTTTTTCTATTTTCAGGGAGGGGGGGAATTTTCACCTTTTCTGACGACTAATCACAGGGCTTTAATCAAAGATTCGGAATTGTAAAAATTACTTTCCATTTTTGTGCCGACTTTTCTAATTTTATTCTATTTTTCCCCAATAGTTTAATTTCTTGTAAATTAATAATTTATCCCAAATAAAATTAAATTATTAGGAATTAATTAATTTTCTTCCCGATGGGAAAAATATAAAAATTTTTCTTTAAAGATTCCAAATGGAGAACATTTTTTAAAATATAAAAAAAGAAAGAAAATTTACAATTCCGATACGTTTTACAAAACAAAAAAATATATTCATCTCGCTTCATTCTAAATTTAAATTTAAATTAAAATTAATCATTCACGCAGAAATATTGTAAATTCGCATTTATGCTGAAAATTTCCTCATCACTTTTCCTTTTTCGTTGCACAAAATATATTTTCTTTTTTTTTGACGAAGATGAAAAAGAAAAATTAAACTGCGAATTACAATATAAAAAAAAACAAACAAACAAGAGCGAAAAGAAACTCTGGCGTTTTTTTCATTATTGTTATTATTATCATTATTATTACTTTTTTATTTATTATAATCAATAATATTGTAATTAATATTATTATTTTTCTTTTGGGACACGATTGTCCCATCGAGAGTTTCGTGAGCATTGCACATTATTTGTATTCTTTTCTTTCTTTCTTTCTTTTTTTTCAATCTCGGCTAAGATTTTCAAAAGTGGAGAATTTTCTTTAACGCCCAAAAAAAAAGATTTTCCCTCGATATTCAAAAAAACAATTTTTAAATCATTTTTTTCTTTAATTCTTCTCTTGTTTTTCGAAATATAATTTTCTTTTCACAAGTTTTTTTTTGAATTTTGAAAACTAATTACAAATTCAAATTAAAAATTACTTTTTCGAAATAAAAAAAAAAAAAGTTTTCGTCGCTTAGAAAATTCCTTTTTTTCCCGAATTTGGAAAATTCTCGTTTTCACCTTGAAACGCTGGAAGATCAGTCTTGACTCCCAAAAAAAAACAAAAACAAAAAAAAAACTATCAAGAACCTCAAAAGGTCGAATTTGCCTTATTTTCCTCCTTCTTTCTCTTTCAATTCGAATTGTTTTCCCAACAATTCTCTCTCATAGGCAAAATTGGAAGGCTTTCACTTTTCCTTTAAAATGTTTCATTTTTGGAAAATATATATATATTTTTTTATATATATAAATTCAGTCACAGTGGAACAATTTAAACACATATTGAATTGTGTTTAAGATTTATTATTTTATCATTATTAGTGTAATTTTTTTTTTATTGCCTTTGTGGCGCTGCTAACTCCCGCGTCACTTCCTGTCTTCCGGTTCCTGATTAGTTTTAACGAGATTGTAAGCGTGACTTCGATACTTGGCTGGAGGGTCGTGAAGAGGAAGAGGCTGCTCGTTGGATTGCTGTTGATTTATGCCCGAAGGTTGACTCATGCTCGACATGGAAAGATCCGTTGGCATATCCATCTCGGGCTCCATTCCATTAACTGATAGCGCTCCATCCTCCTCTGGTTCCGATTTTATTCGCATTTGCTGTCGTAGCAATGAAATATTCTTGATATTCTTTAATTCCGTTGGATTGCGCAAAAATCTGTTGGGAAAAAAAAGAAGAACATTAACAAAATTGTTTCATTTTTCGTAATATAGAAAATTAGAAAAGAAAAGACGAATTTTGAATTTTTTTTTTTCTATTTTATAGAAAAAAAATATTTTTTTTTCTATTTAATGGAAAAAAAATATTCGAAATTCGTTTTTTCTTTTCATTCTTTTTTTTAAAAATAAAGAAATGAAAAAATAAATAAAATACTCACTGATAGCAATGGCGCTCGCCCTGGACCTTCCTGAGAATATTGACGCGATAATAATATCTTAAAGCTCGACTCATTTTGTCGTAATTCATGGACAAATGATTCTTTTGTATTCCCCAAAGCCTCGCGAGACCCGGTGGATCGACAATTTTAAATACACCCGTCTCTCGACTCTTCCACGCAATATAATGTGTATATCTTTGCGATGGATCATTTAATAATTGTTGTAAAAAGTCCCACAATAACCTTCCATCTGAAAAAGAGAAATTCCAAAAATTAATATTATACTTTTTTTCTAATTTTACAATTAAAGAAAAATGGTAAAAATTAATTTCAAGTTAAATATTAAATATTTTTCCAGTTAAAGAAAAATAAGAGAAATATAATAAAAAATAATAATATAAATTTTTATAATTATTAATTAGTCAATAAATAGAAAATAATCCTATGTAATAATATTAATAATAATAAAATAGAAAAGAATAAATAATATTAATAATAATAAAATAGGAAAGAATAAATAATATTAATAATAATAAAATAGAAAATAATAAATAATATTAATAATAACAATATTAATAATAATAATAATAATGATAATAAAATAGAAAATAATAAATAATATTCATAAAAAAAAAGTTTGCACTAAATAATTGAATAAAATATATTAAAAATAAAGTGAAAAAAAATTCGTTAAATGGAGAAAAATATATATATTTGACGTATCTTGGCATTAATTGGATTTCGAGCAAATAAATCACGATCGGATCTAATCAATCTTAATTCCGTCTTATCTAATATTTGAATTGATCAAGTGTCACTTGTAAACATCCGTTCTAGAAAATTTTTTTTTATCTTTCTTTTTTTTTATTTTTCTTCGTATTTTATTAAAAAAAAGTGAGCGAAATTAAATTTTTCTCTTCTTTATCTCGATTGTATTCGGTATGATTTTAATTTAATTTAACAAAACAAACGAAAATGAAATTAATTAAAAGTGAAAATTTCCATTTTATTCGATTTCTAATGTTTATTATTTATTTATTTATTTATTTGATTACTATTAAATTTTAAGTATTTAAGTGAATATTTTATTTATCAAAAATTCCTATTTTTGTATTTTGTTTATTAAGCAGAAAATTTTTAATTAATCGTGAATTTTTATTTTAAACAATATTTCTATTTAATTTCATAAATTTTTTATTATAATCAATTTTTTCAATTTTTAAAGTTTATAATGTTGTGAAAAAATTTGAATTACTCACAATTAAATAATAATAATAATGATAATAATAATAATAATAATATTTTGTTGAATAAAAATTCGTATTCCCTATTCTAAAAAATTAATTTTAATTTCTATTTTAAAAATTTCTTTCAATGAAAATTCAAAAATTACAAAAATTCCGTTCAAATTCTATCAACTTAAAATTGTATTTCAATGGAAATTTTCATAGATAAAAATTACGATTCAATTCGATATTATAATTTTCAATCATAAATTTCTTAATTTTTGAAATTGAAATGAAAATTCTATTAAAATTTTTTTCTTCATTTGAAATAAATGAAAATCTATATTATTTTCTTTTTAAATATTTTCAATTTTAAAACTAATAATATATTGAAAATCATTTAATGTTTACAAAGAATTTTATCAAAAAACTTGAGAATAATTAAATTCCTTCAAAGAATTTTATTATTTATGGAAATAATTGAATTATTGCAAAGAATTTTATTCAAATTTTTTTTCAATAATTGAATTCTTTCAAGAAAATGTAATTAAAATTGTATTGAAAATAATTTAATTCTTGAATAGATTATTAATATTATTAACATTCTTTAAAATAATTGAATTGTCGGAAGAATTTATTAGTTTTTTAAAATAATTTTTACTGAAAATTTTGAAAATAATTGAATTCGAAGAAGAATTTCTTTTAAGTTTTTAAAATAATCGTGTTTATTAATTAATTTGTAATTAACGATTTTCCTATTAAATTATATTAAAATTATTCATAGAAAATTTAATTCTTTTAAACAATTTTATTAGAATTTTTTGAAAATAATTACACTTTTTTTTGAAGAATTTCATTAAATATCGTAAAAAATTATGTAATTTTTTAAATACAAAAATTTAATTCAAATTCAATTTCTCAGCAAAGAAAAATCAATTTAACGAAATAATTCAATTTTTTTAAAAATAAAATTGAATTTAACGATTTATAATTTAATTTTTCAAGACAAATTTTAGGAAGAAATTTAATTTAAGACGAAAAAATTGAATTTAACGAATTAATTCAATTTTTTGGAAATAAAATTGAATTTAACAAAATAATTCAATTTTTTGTGGAAAAAATTCAAGTTTTAAATAAAGAAAATTCAAATTAAGAAAATAAATTAATTTTTTGGGGAAAAAAATTCATTTTAAAGAAATAATTCAATTTTTTTTTTGGAAATAACATTCAATTTTACAAATAAATTCAATTTTTAAGGGAAATATTTAATTTAACGAATTAATTCAATTTTATTAGAGTTTTTGTAAATAATTACATTTTTTTGTGAAGAATTTCATTAAATTTCGTAAAAAATTATATAATTTTTTAAAGTAAATTTAATTGGAAATTTTGAAAATAATTGAATTTCTTAGAAGAATTTTATTATTTACAAAAATAATTGAATCCTTGACAAGAATTTTACTTTTTATGAAAATAATTGAATTGTTTCGAAGATAATTGTTGAAAGTAATTGAATTTTTCTTAAGACTCTTGAAAATAATTGAATTTAAATAATATTTTTAATAATAATTGCATTCTTTCGAGAAATTTTATTAAAATTGTATTGAGAATAATTGAATTCCTTCGAAAAATTTTTATTATTTATAAAAATAATTGAATTCTTTTAAAGGAATTTTCTTATTTACATGAAAATAATTAAATTCTTGCGGAGGATTTTACAATTCAAAAAAAATATTTGAATTGTTTCGAAGAATTTTATCTTAATTCTTGAAAATAATTCATTTTTTTTGAAGGAATTTGATTAAAATTTTATAGAAAATAATTGAATTTCTCAAAAAAATTTTATTATTTACAAAAATAATTGAATTCTTGACAAGAATTTTACAATTTATGAAAATAATTTAATTCTTTCGAAGAATTGTTGAAAATAATTGAATTTTTCTTAAAGCTCTTGAAAATAATTGAAGTTAAATAATATTTTAAAAAATAATTGTATTCTTTGGAGAAATTTTATTAAAATTGTATTGAAAATAATTGAATTCCTTTCAAGGTATTTTATTATTTCTGAAAATATTTTAATTCTTGCGAAGAATTTTCTTATTTATGAAAATAATTAAATTCTTGCGGAGGATTTTACAATTCATAAAAATAATTGAATTGTTTCGAAGAATTTTATCTAAATTTATTGAAAATAATTGAATTTTACTAAAAATTTTGAAAATAATATTCCTCAAAATTGTTGAAAATAATTGAATTTATATTAAAATTCTTGAAAATAATGAAATTTAATTAATATTTTTAAAAATAATTCCGCGCGTATGATTTACTGGTTATTAATAATTATTATTAATTAATTATTATTATTAATAATATTATTTCTATATTATAGAAATGGAAATAAAAAAAGAAAGTAAATAAAAATAAAGAAATGGAATAAGTAAAAAAGAAATTAAATAAAAACAAAGAAATAAATAGTATAGAAGGGAAAATTTTTGAAGAAAAGAATAAGTGTTGTTCTAATGTGAACTCACTTGTATTAGGTTCGGGTGAGTCATTAGGAAAAAATTCCCTCGCAACATTGCCCGCCGGTCTGAATGCGCCCGGTGTTAATGGCATCATTTGCGGTGGTAATGTGGGACTTGGCTGATCCTTAACGCACACCTCACTCAATCTTTGTGCAGTGAGTGCAGTTGGCGTTGCCGGTGGACTACTACTGCCCTGATGATTGTCCTCGTCCGAATCACTTTTATATAATTGCGTATGATTGCTCTCCGCGTGTCCTGGTGAACCGGCTTGACTGTCAATCGATGGCGCTGGCGATAATGTCACTGAATTCGCTGACATTAGAGAGGCAAAATTTGCTGCGTATGGATTATCAACCCACGTGGGCGTTGGTGGATGTGAATGTGGACTCAATGGATAGGCTGATGGTCGTGTCGGTGTCACTGGACTGCTTGGTAAACACCTTTGATTATATTCACGTGTTAACATTGATAATACATTGTGAATAACATCGCCAGCACCTGGACAACGTTCGCCAAGATCGGACTTTGTTAATAGGCACAATGCCTTGCCATTCATTTGAAACATATCCATATCAATAATTGGCAAATCAAATTCCCTCTCGGCCCAACGTAAAAATGTTGCGACGTCATCGCGTGACCAACATCTTGGATCTGGCGCTGAAATTAAATGAAAAAATTTATTAGTTTTTCTCTTATAAATATTTATTAATTTCTTACTTTTTATTGCTTAACATTTTAATTTGTAATTATATTTTATAAATGATTATTAATAATTTTTATTTATTATTATTATTATTATAATTCATTATAATTAATTACAAAAGAATTCTATTTGTTTTAATTTGCTTTGCAATTTTTTTTACAATTTTTACAATTTTCTTTTGAATTAAATTTAACAAAAATGATTTCAATTTTTTGGGAAAGAAAATTCACTTTTAGAAAATAATTGCATTTTTTTTTTTTTGGAAAAAAATTCAATTTGACGAAAAAGTTCAATTTCTTAGCAAAGAAATTTCAATTTAACTAAATAATTCAATTTTTTATCAAACAAAATTTAATTTGACGAAATAATTCAATTTTTTAGCAAAGAAAAATCAATTTAACGAAATAATTCAATTTTCTTTGGAAATTAAATTGAATTTAACGATACAATTCAGTTTTTAAAGACAAATCTTTAGGAAGAAATTTAATTTTACACGAAAACATTGAATTTAACGAATTAATTCAATTTTTTTGAAAATAAAATTGAATTTAACAAATTAATTCAATTTTTTGTGAAAAAAATTCGTTTTAAATGAAAAAAATTTAAATTAAGAAAATAAATCAATTTTTTGGGAGAAAAATTTAATTTAAAGAAATAATTCAATTTCTTAGCAAAGAAAAATCATTTTAAGGAAATAATTCAATATTTTGAATATAAATTTTAGGAAGAAATGTAATTTGAGACGAAAAAATTGAATTTAACGAATTAATTCAATTTTTTTGGAAATAAAATTGAATTTAACAAAATAATTCAATTTTTGTGGAAAAAATTTAAGTTTTAAATAAAGAAAATTTAAATTAAGAAAATAAATCAATTTTTTGTGAAAAAAAAATCAATTTAAAGAAATAATTCCATTTTTTTTTGGAAATAACACTCAATTTAACAAGTAAATACAATTTTCGGGGGAAATATTAAATTTAACGAATTAATTCAATTTTTTTAAGAAAGAAAATACAATTTCAACAAAATAATCCATTTTTTGGCGGAAAAAATCCAATTTAAAGAAATAATTCAAATTTTTTAGAAATAACATTGAATTTAATAAATAAATTCAATTTTTCGGGGAAATATATTCTATATTTAACGAATTAATTCAATTCAACAAAATAATTTACGAAAAATAAAATCCTAAATAATAATAATAATAATAATAATAATAATAATAATAATAATAATAATAATAAAATAGTAATATTAATAATAATAATATTAATGATAATAATAATATTAATAATAATAATAATAGTAAATTAATGAGTACACATTTTGATTGCTGACAAAACGAAAACACTTTTCCACAAACTGTTCTTTTCCTTCAAATTTCTTTCAAATTCCAGTCCTTGATAATAATTTCAATAAAAAGAGAAGAATATTTCAATCGCAGTGTTAAAAAATCTGTTTTTCTTGCAATAATATATTATTTACTATGCGATAAATAATAAATTGTTTTTTTTAACACAAATGACACAAATGTTTATAACCTAAAAATTTCACACGCACTTTACTTTTAATTCGAAATGAAAGATATTTTTTCTAAAGATCTAATCTATTTTGCTTCACTACTTCTTGAAATTGTTATCAAATCAACTTTTTCTTTTATACTTTTTATAATTATTAATATTAATTAATAGTTACATGGTTACTATTAAATAACAACTGTTAATTTGTTTAATTCGTTTCATTTGTTTTATTGACATTTCGCAACGTTTTGATTTTTTTGAGTGAACGAACCTTTAACCGGAAGTATAAATAAAAAAGTGGACAAGTTTTTTTTTTTTTGTTAATAACCACTCTAGTGAATTTATTGTTTAAGAAATTAATCTTCCCGCTTTTCTCCACCCCCTTCCCCTCTCCTCTGCCCACTCTAGTCCGCCATTTGTAATTTCGAGTCTCAAGAGGACAAAGACCAGATCGCAGGGATGAAAAAATCGGAATATCAACGAATCAACAAGTGTTCTTATCGAGTATTTTCTATAAAAAGGTGATAAATTATTGTACGGTATAATCGGGTTTATTATTTCGTGATTGCCAGTGAAAAAACCAGCCCACCCAGTTCGGAAAAATCGAAACGAATTTGCCCTTTTTTTCTCTGCGACGCCGACATTGCGGTAAAAATCTGTTTTGATCGGTGGAAATTGGAAGTTTTATTTTTTGTCTGAAAAAACAGTGGATCAAACGCGGAAATAGCGGTAGAAAATTTTTAACGATTATTATAAATATACGATACGGGAATAATTATTCGTTTATTAAAAATAAGTCGAGTTTCGATTAAAATTCATCGTTGAAAGTTTAACCTCAAAAAAAGAATATTTTTCTCCTTTTCGTTTTTAATAATAAAAAAAAATTTCGTTTTTCGTGGCATTGTCGCAGTAAAAATAATTGTCTTTTTCTTCGTTTCCGCTTTCATTTTTTTTCGTGTGCAAATAATAGATATAGGTATAGCCATGACTATTGGAAATTGGAATTGAAAAGAAGACGGAATTATCGATTCGCTCGTCATTTGGATCAAGTATGTTTATTAAGTATTTAATTTCTCAATATTTAATTACTATATTTATGTTTTCTGTATTATGTTCTGTATTTATTATTTATTTGAACATTTTTTTTTTTGAAAATTAAAATCTGCATTTAAGAAAAAATAATTCACAAAAAGAATTATTTCTCATTTATTTTGATTTAATTTTTTGATTCTTTAAAAAAAATGGACAAGTTTTTAACAATTAAAAAATGAATTTTGTGAACTTGTTTAATTAAATTAATTTAATACAAAAATAAATTCAGATATTACTTAATTAATAACATAATTATTATTTAATTAATGAAATTAAAGTAGTATTTCTTGTTTCATCGAAAATTGATATTGTACAATTATTGGCGAATCGAATTACTAAAAATGGATAATATAATTAATACGATTTCTTGATATAATTATATATTAATTATATTAAATTAAATTAATCAAGCGTAATCAATAAACTTAATTTATATTAATGTTTTTTTATTAGAATAATTATAATTAAATATAATAATAAATTTGATATATTTATAATAATATTAATAATCTAATTAACAAACATAACAAAGATTAGTTAATTTTCAAAAAAAAAATTTTATATAATTATTAAAAATAGTTCGTAAATTTTTCAAGTCAATTAATGAATAATAACAATTGATTAAAGTCATTACAAACTAAATTGTTTTATTTGACATTCAATTATTATAATTAATTTATGAAATTAATTTAAATAATTAACTTATTTGATAAATGTGAAAAAAATTCGAAAACAAAAACCATAACTTTAATAAATATTAATTTATATATTTCATTTGTGTTTACTTAATAACTATAATAAGTAATTAATTAGATATATCAAGTTTGTATGGATTCAGCTAATTACCACTACCGATCGATTAAACTAATTTGCAAAATCAGTTTATCAAATTTTCATGATTGTGTTTAATTAATAAAGTTAATTATTTAGTTTCATTTGATAATATAATTTTATTAATATAATTAATTGAATATTTTGATTTGTAAATAAATAAATAATTATTAATTCAAGCTATAATTATATATATATATATATATAAAATTTATTTATTATATAATATTCGATAAATTCGATAAAAAGTAATAAATTTAATTGGTTTTCACAAATATCAAATTTAATTAAAAAATTCAAATTAATAAACGGAAATAATGAACATATTAACTTAACAGTTTAACACCAAAAAATATATAGAGAAAAAAAACAAAAGAAGAAAGAAATACACATTCTTGATTATATTTTATGACGAAAAGCTCATATTTCGTTTTTGGCTTCTAACTTGCACGGGGCATTTTAAAATAAAATCAATTACGTAAAGAGATAATTGTTTTGGAATAAATTTGAAAGAAAATGAACTATAAATAAAAGGTATGTGCTTACAATTTGAAAATTTACATTTTCGCAAGTAAAAATTGAACCAGTTCTATAGAAAGAAATTTATTGAAATCAAATAAACCAATTACCAGCGACTATTATTATCAAATAATTATTTACACGAAGTAAATATAATTTTTTATTTAAATCAAATAAACTTTTATTTTATAACCAATAATAATTTTTGTATTTTTAAGCAAATATTGCATTTATTTGATGTAAATAAAAAATTATTCGACACAAGTAAATATTTATTTGACGAACAAATGTCAAGTAATTCATTACATCAAATCAAATAAATTTCTTTCAATATATAGTGACTCTTTCAATATATTTCAATATAACCAATTGATAAAATTCTGTTAAATCAACTTACTTAAGTAGGTAAATTAATTATTAATGAATAAATTTTTATTTTATTCATCAATTATAAGAGAAGTTATCGTCTTTACTTTATTTGTCAGTGATTTAAATTATACATACAGAGCCATTTACATATATCCTATTTTTACCATTTTTGACCCCCCCTCTTTTCCCTTGAAGTGTTTTTTTACATCAAGGGTAAGAAGGGGGGGATATATGGACTACTCTTAATTGGATCAAATTATTATTATTATTATTATTATTATTATTAAAATTATAAATTAATTTAAATTTTATGAAATTAAAAATTTTATTGATATTAATTAATTTAACAGCAATTTTTGGTGAATATTTTTTTAAAATAAATATACTTACACAAACTGGAGGGTAGATGATTTTTAAAGTCTAAAAGTGGACTTGGGGGCGGATGTGCGGCTGGGAAGGTCATTGCTGGTCCATATCTCCATAGGAGATCGGTGGGACTAAAGGGTAATGATATTCCCGGGGGAAGACGTGAATCCATCGCCATTCCGCCTGCGGCAGAAACTGGCGGTAACTGCGGCAACTGAATTGTCGGCAGTAATTTCATAACACGTCCTCAGTTCAACCGGATGTCTGTAACAACAAAATTTAAAGAAATTTTTAAATATTGCAATTAATTATTATTATTACGGAATATATAAATACATATTTGTTTCCCCCTCCACTCTCTCTCTCTCTCTCTGTCTTTATTATACTTGTATGCTTGTGTATACTGCATATATAAATTACAAAAACATGAATATTTAAACAACTTTCGCTTTCTGTTTTTCAACTATATATATATATTTTTTTTTGTCGTACTTCCGTTAATATTTCAATATCAAATTTGACTCGATAAATATTCATGTTAAAGAATAATTTATAATCAATTTATTATTTTTATCTTCATTTTCTAATTGGATTTGAAAAAATAGTCTTTTTTTAAACTATTTTTTTAAGACGTGGTAGTAAAAGAAGAATAATAGTTAAAATAGTATTTATTTTTAAGTTTAATATCAAATAATAGATGACACTATTAAATAAAAATAATAATAATAACAATAGATAATATTACATAATTAGAGAGGGAAAAATAAGGGTCTTGAAATGAAAAAGAATTAAAAGAAAGATAGAGAGATGGAATATTATTTCCTGAATTAAAATAGGTTTTAAGTTATAAACTAAACATATAATATATTATAACATCCGTGTGGAAAAACCTCGAGGGCTCCTTTTTATTTATTTCTTCTGTTTCTCCTCGATAATAGTTAATCAACGATTCTCGAGCGGAAGCGAGTTCGACGTCGATAGAAATACGTTATGTAAATCCCAGCCCGAGGAACGGATACCCTCTTCCTGCCCTGTGTACGAATATATATATGTATACCCTGATGCTAAACTTTTTATTCTTGTAAGACTTGTGCATTCTATGCTAATCTTCGACTCTTCAAAGTCCCGTGTTTTTCAAAGAAAACACTATACTCTCTTTCTCAACTTCTCTCGCGCTTTAAAATCTTCAATATATATTTATTAAAACGAAAAAATATTAAATAAAGGAAGGAAAAAAATCTTCAATTTCCTTTTATGCACCTCCACTTTCTAAGTTTCTGTATATATATTATATTTATTTATATTTTAATTTGAAGAGAGGATATTTATTATTTGAAAACTACAAATTTTACGAAATATGTAAAATTTTTAATCTTGAGTTAATTTCTTAATTTAAATTCTTAATTTACTATATTATTTTACTACTGTAAATATTAAGAATGTTTCAATGATATTTGAGTTTTTTCGCAGATTGGGCAGAGAAAAAAAAATTCAGAAAACTTGAAAAGACTATTTCATTCATATTCATATTGATATTCAACATTTATGTTGAAATATTAAAATAACGATTATCTGTCAACAGTTTGGGTCGAAAATTATTTATTTTTAGCAATCGGTCTATACTTTAGGTCAAAAATATAATTAGATTACATAAATACTATTTTATATGAAGTAGAACTTATCATTCGGTCGAAAATTATATTTGTTAGAAAAAATCAGGAAAAAGTCAAAATTTTTTATTAAAAGTACAGAAAAAGAATTAATTTTTAAAACTCATAAGAAAATTCTGAAATTTGGTGTCTTTTTTGTTTGTCTCATAAACTATGAAATTACTACGAATTCTAATAAAAAAAACCTTCAAATTTTACTATTTCGATTTAAATATTTCAAAATTAATTAAATTTTAAGAGAGCTGCATTTACAATTTTCATAAATAAGACGAACTTTAAAAGCATTTAATTTGAAATTTTATAAAATTTCTATTCTGTTTAATTAAAAATTTTAAAAAACTTAGAATTTTGAAAAATTTTAATAATTCAAATTCTTCTAAAATTAGTTAATTTTTTAACTATATATTTAATTATTTATTAAAACTAATTGAATTATAGAAGAATTTTAGTTAAAAAGACTAAAAAAAAATTGAATTTCAATTCTCTTAATGGCTAATAAAATTTTTCTTAAAAATTCAATTATTTAAAAAAATTTAATAAAATTCTTGAAAAATTTCAATTATTTAAAAAAATTTTAATAAAATTCTTGGAAAATTTCAATTATTTTCAAAAATTTTCTTCAATTCAATGATTTTTCATTTCTACTATTTTAATGAAGTTTTCCAAAAGAATTCAATTATTAAAAAAAATTTAATAAAATTTTTTAGAGATTAGTATTTAAGTATTTTTCTTGAGATTTTTAGAGTGAATCAGAATATTCTTTAGGGTCAAGGAGAAAGTCAAACTTTTGTCTGAAAAATCAGGAAAGAAGAAAATTCAATTTTTGTGGCAACCCTGTAATTTAAAACAATGATAGTAATCTGTCAATTATTTAGAATGAAAATTGTAGATCCGCTTTTTTCGAAAATTCTGAAAAACACTGGTAAATCGGTATGTATTTTTTTTTAAAATAGTAAGATAAATAAAATAAAAATTGAATACAAGATGTTGAATTATAATACAAAAATTAATAGTTCGGAATTTCTGGAATCACTAATGAGACTTCAGTTTTTGTTAAAAATTCAATAATATAAATGTTGCTCAGAAAGAAATAAAGTTATCAGAAAAAAAAATTTCTTGAATTCTGGATGGTATTTGTAGTTATTGAAAAGACGTTTCGTCAAGTGGTTGGGAAATGAAGTGTGAGGGGGAGGCAGGGAGAGAGAGAGAAAGATATGGTGATTTCCTGGTGCTAGAGAACAGTGTGAGAGACAACGGCACATCGACCTTCGCGTGCCGCGAGTTTACCTCCCACCACACTCGACAAAAGTACTTTTTGTCTCTTTTCAACCTGAGTGTAACGACGCGGTCTCTCTAAATTCTCTCTCATCGACTTCTCATATATATATAAAGAAACCATATATATATATATACGTGTGTCTATGTATCTATGTACAAGAAAGAGACATTCGTCTCGCTTACGCAAGAAAGGTTAACAGACCGGATTCCCTTGGTTCCGTTGAGACGTGTTCGATAATAAAGAATTCGACGGTTATTTTTCCTATATTTTTCGACTTTATTTTTAATTTTTTTTTCTTTTTAATAAATGTCTTTAAACAAAGAAAAAACGTTTCTTCTTGTCTTTCACGTGTAGATTATCCACCAACCGGAACGACCTCACACACAATCGACTTCCGCTTCCAAGTGCGAGGAAGTTATATTCTCGCGGTCGCCCGGAAGTGCCTACGGTCGACCTTTAGAAATCTTTTTTTTCTCACTTTTGTCTTATATACTCGTTTTTCTTCCTTTTAGAGAAATATTTTTTCATCTCTCTCTCTCTCTGGTTATCTATCAAAATTAAAATAGACCCTTATCAAAGTCACTTATACGCATTGAGTCAAATTTATCAGTGAACAAAAATTCTTAATATTTTTTTCATAAAACGAATTTTTCCTTTTATTTGTACATACTTTGAAATTCTAATTTTATTTGAATTGGTATTAAATTGCTTTCGAGTATGAAAAAAGTTGATAAAAATAGGATTTTCGATTATATTTCATTATGTTGATTAACATTTGTCGAAATATTTAAGATATACATTTTTTTTATCGATTTTTGCTTCATTAAGTTTTCAATTTTTTAATTTTGTGCCTAGAGATATTAGGGAACTTAGGGTTTTTAGTAAAAGTTTTTTCAAAAAGGAGTTATTCTTTTTTTCTGTGTAATGGAAAAATGGTTTATTTCGATTTAAGGGAATGAGTATAAAAAAAATTATGAAAAATGACAAGTTTTCTTTCATTTCTAATTTCGCTTATATTAGTAATAAAAATTGGTGAAGCGGAAGTTGAAAAAGGAAGGCCTCGACGACCTCGTAGCCATCTCTTCGAGTCAATTTGAATCGCTCGACGCCTTTTCTTTGGCGAGAATTCTCTCTCTCTCTCTTTCTTAATGTCAGAGGTTCGTTAATGCCTTATTCATACATAGGCGGTGAACGTTACATAATGCATATCAGGAAACCGCATGTGCCTTCGGGCTACGTAAGCCGCGCGCTTTGAAACACGCGTAACGCCTTCGCCTATATATCTCTCCCCACCCTCTTTCTTTTCCCTCTACAAAAAAGTGCAATTCCAAAAAAAATGTAAAAAATTAAATTTTATTTTTTAAAATTTTACTATCAAGTTCAATGATATTTTTCTTTTAGTTTCAATAAATAGACGTCATTTTACCTATAACAATTGTATTAACATTGATGTATATACAACAACTGTTTCTTTTATTGACACAATTTAAATGTATTGCGTTCCCATATCTATGAATTTATTATTTAGAACAAAAAAACTATGTTTTTTTAATATTTGACTATTTAAAAAATTGATAATTCGAATTTAAATTATTAAAAAAGTGAACAAATCAACTATTTTTAAGACAAACATTAAAAAGTGTCGGTGTTTAAATATTTAATATACGAGGAAATTTTTTTGGTATTTGATAAATGAATAACTGAATATAATTGAGAACGATATTTTTTTCTAGAATCAATGGGGGGTTTTTTTATTGCCGAATTATATGTATTTATTTTACTTGGTGTTCAAAAAGTATGATTTTTTATACAATTTTTTTTTACTTTATAATTATTTTCTAGTTTTCTAAAATAAATAGAAAACTTGGGAAATTTAATACTTTTTTGTGTTTTAATAGAGAAAATTTCGATCCTTTTTTTTTGTTAATTCCGGAAGGGAGAAACAATTTCATTCTCTTGGGAAATATTGGTTGAGAAGCACTGTTTATTTCTGTGTAAAGTGAACCCCGCCTCGCAATTCCCTCTCTCTCTCTCGTGCTCACGATCTCACAAGAAGTTATGCTATGCTCCCGGGAAGAGTAACCACCTCGGCACTCGACCACCTTCTCTCCCAACTTCTGTCCTCAAGAAGGAAGTAGGTAAATATGTATGTGTACACAGTGCGAGAACTCGAGATGGCATCGAGTTGGCCTCCCTCCCTCTCTCTCTTCTCTTAACTCACACGTACACACGCATGTTTCAACACATGATTGGTACATTCTTCCGCTTCACGAACGAAGCTGCTGCTGTTGCTATTGCTCTTATATACTGTTGTC